ATCCCCAGAACAGTCCCCTGTCCTCAAGGTACTGAAAAGCCACTAGAGCTCTAGCCATTAAATCTGCAGGGCCATACCTCACTGCCAAGTGAAACTAGAGAATATGGTCTTTACTGGGGAGCAGCAATATGTCCAGCTAAAAATCAGGATTCTTATTATAAGTAGAAAGGAGGGATAGATATTAAGAGGAAATCAGCATTCTCTACAGCAGGAATAAGGGGGTAACTTTTAAAAAAATATCTTTGGGACTAAAGAGAGTAGGTATTTAGGAAGTTCCAAAGTAATTCAGTATCTCATAGCTGCCCCTGTACCAATGGACTTAGATAAGCCTGGGATGAATGTGGAGCTTGTTCTTTCTTTCTTTTTTTTCTGATTAATTGGTTGTTCTCTATTCTAGAGTGCAGGGACTGCTGGCAGGAAAGCATTATATTACCTCAGCTCTTACAAGTTGTAAGCTGTACTCCCAAGTTATCCTCATTGAGAAATGATGTCAAATAATCCAAGTATAGTCTACCCTATTAGTCTAAACTATAGGAAACAGAAGATCCAACCCTATAAGGGACAGAAGGTCTGTGCGGGTTAGTCTGCCAACAAACTTGGGCTAAGAGGTGAAATGAACTCTACAGGAATCCTAATATCATCCAGTGAGAAGTCCAGAGCTGTCTGTCCAATACTGTGGGACTAGCCTGATACAGGTCAAGGATAGAGAAGAGAATTAAGAATGAGGTGCATATTCACACATTTAAAAATATTATATATGAGGCAAATGACTCTAAAATTAGCCACCTATGTAACAACTTCTAGAAGCTCTACCAGTAAAAAATGCACAGTTACCATGAGGTGATGGAAAGCTTTCCCTCTCTTCCCAGTAACGAGAACTATAGATGCATCTCATTTGCAGAGGCTGGCCCCTCCCCTTATATCCATGGGTTACATGAATGGGTCCTATAGATGTGTTGATTTGCTTGACTTCCTCCTATTCTCTAGCATTATTGTTTTTTATAGTAAATTGTTCACCCTTGATCTGTAGAAGTGTGAAATGAAATATGTTAACAATGGTTATCTCTAGCAGATTAGATTACAGTTGATTTTTGTTTGATTTTTGTTTTTAGATTCTGTGTATCACCCATATTTTCTATAATCAATACGTATTATTTCCTAACTAGACAATGTTATAAATTTTAAAATTAAAAAAAAATCAGATCAGAATCTTTAAAATATGTATACTATTTAGGAATAATGAACAGCAGACTCTCTGTCAATGGTACACCCAAAGCCACTATAGAAGAAAAGAACAAACTGTTAACAGAGAACTTAGAAATAAGATAGGAAAAACAATTAGATGCAGATATAAATAACTTTATTTTCACAAAATTTTAATAAAACCATTTATCTTGGCAGAGGAGAAAGCTAGTATTTATCAGTTGTAAGGCTTAATTCTTAATGTACGAAGAAAAAACATACTAGCCATATGAAACACACGTTTCTCTCCTTAACTATTTTGTGGTAAATTAAAAGATGTGAAATGAGATAAATAGTTGTGAAAGTGCTTTATAAACTTGAAGTGCTTTGCAAATCCAATACTGTTACTGTCAGAAGACTATCATATTCTACCTCTAGTAACTGCTGTGTGACTTGTCATAGGGGTCTCATATTTACACAAAAAGTAAATTTCCAAAGGTTTTGAAGATTCTTCCCTTCTCATCACATGTAAGTAGTAAGGTATCTCTTGGCTGCCAATGCAGACAACTGCTTAGTGTGGTATTTCCATGTTAGCCTTATAACACTGCACTCTGAAAAGCACAGTGCAGCTTAAATCCACAGTGGATACAATCATTGTCTAACTTCAGATATTGAGAAATGTTAGAAAACATCAAGTGTTCTGGTGTTTTTAAAAGACCCCAGAAAGAGATTCAAAAACATGAGCAAAGCTCAGCATTTGTAGCTCTGTGTGAATTCAGCTGCTCCAAGTTCTTAGAAGTCCTAAGGCTACTCAAAGGGTTGTTTAGGTGAAGATGGATGATGCCTTCCCTGAATCATCAGCTGCCACTGATAGAGTGAAGTGAGATGGAATAGTGGGCACAATCTCATTCATCCTACTCTATGTAGCCTAATGGGTCCAGAATTTAGCATCACTATTTTACACTGGAAAAAGATGAGATTATGAGGGGTCAGGGAGGCTTTGAGTTTTTGCTCTAACTTCACACTAATTAAGAATGTGATCTTGGGTAAGCCACTTTAATCTCTGTCAATGTCAAATTTCTTATCAGTAAAATGTGACTATATGAGACAATACATTTGAAAATACTTTGCAAAATTGAAAGTACCAGGGAAATAATTCTTCAATCCCAAAAGGTTGTGAACATTACTAAAATTTGCCACATGGAAGAGCACACACCACAGAGACATAACTGTGATCATAAACAGATTTACAAAAGTGGTATTTCATTACGGAGGGCCATAGGGCTGATAAAGACAAATGCATCACCAACCTATGTCCGAGGTCATTCAGATTTTCCTAGGAAACACAGAGCTTCTAGCTGAATTATCTCTGGATGGTATGGAAATTGTCCAACAATATATTCCTAATTTGAAAGGAACAGAACTGAATCTTGAAGCACCAAGAGGCCTTTATAGAAATGGACAAGAGACGAATTAACATAGGCATCAAGCTACAGACCAAATTAAAGTTTTACAAAACTGTGAAAGAGGGTAAGAAGAAATTTATGGGAAGCAGACTCCTTGAAAGTCAGCTTTGATGGACTGACAATATGTGCAACACATTGAGCAACCTCTTAGGTAGGCAGCTTCAGGGACAGGGGCTGCCCCTTTGAAAGGACTTGGGCCACTCTTGAGTCTAAGAGGCTGTCACAAACAATACTAAGCAACTAAAAATAGCTTCTTGTTTAATAGTAAAATTCTGCATAGTAAAAGGAGAAGCAGGAGGTATGACACACGTGGTAGTTAGCAGTCTACTACTGACTATTGCCACTATAACCAGGAAAGCCAGCTGATATGTCAGATGTGAGAAAGCGAAAGTATGTCACAGTGAATGTAGTTTTTCCCCCAAGTATTTCAAGAAAGAAATGAAAAAGCCAACTTCTATAATGGTGCCTACTGTGCATTAGTAGAGATATACTAGGGGTCTAAGAACTCAGTTTTCTACAGGGTCCCAGAAATATAGCCATATATTGCCCCATTCTCTAATGGAAATAGCCAGAGAAATATAAATATCAAGACTGGAGAACATCAAAGACCTCATTGGAAAAGCCCCCACATAGGAAAATGTGTGGGCCTGAATTCTTCCATTCTGGAAGGGTAAAGGCCTGAGTGATGATGCTGGGATTAGACACTGAAACTCTTTAGAGAAGCAAAACAAGTATAATAAAGCTGTACTTTATTATATTACATAAATGACACACAACTACCAAATAGCCTTCCCCTTATAACAGTGTTAATGTGATTTTGATCTGAAATGTAGAGAGACATTTTGCATTTTTTCGTAATAAAGAGTTTATGAGATTTGGCCCTAATCTGACCTTTTCTTCATTTTTTTTCTACTTGAGGGACTACAATCTTTATTTTTGTTTTATATTCTCTGAACATTACCTAATGCATAGAAAACGTATTGAACCATTTTTCTCTGTTCTTTGTAAAAGATTACAATTGACTGTTCCTTAGACTGCTTTAATCATTCCTGCCTATGCACCCTCCTCAAAATCCAGTTTAAATTAATTGTTCCTTATTCGAAATTCCTTATATCCACCTCCCTTGGGGCAGCAATCACCTATCACCCAGGACTACACTTGTGTATGCATATATCTTCCCTATTACAAATCAGGTTCTTTGAGAAAATACAAATGGTAAGAGAGTGGATTTTTGGAGTCAGAGCATTCTCTTTTCATATCCTTGTTCTGCCCCTTACTGGCAATAAGGGCTGAGTGACCTAGAGCAAATTACTTAACTTCTCTGAGCCTCAGTTTTCTAATCTGCAAAATAGGAGCCATCACTTCACAAGTTTGTAAGACTTAAATTAGACTAAATGCCTGCCTGTACACTGTTCTCTTTTCTCTTTTTCTATATACCTGAAGGCATTATAGGTGCTAGATAAATGTCTGTTTAAAGACCAGACAATATTGTCTTAAACAAACAAACAAAAACACAGACAATACCATCTTTTTTTAAAAAAAAAGGTCAGGTAAGAAATAAATAAGGCAGTAGAATGGAAGCTTTACAAGGACTCTCTCTGAGAGAGGATCTCCTCAAGTGTCCCCAGGTTAAATTACAAGTATATACCCATACAATTGTTCAGACAGTTTGTGCATGCTACTGAGGATGAATGAACTCCTACCCTAAATATCCCAATCTGACTTAAAAAAAGATCATAACTATTATGGTTACATTCATAGTGTCCCAGGTGATTTAGAGAATAAATAAAAATCCATTAAAGAGGTAAAGACATAAAAATGAGAAACATGGACTGGTTTACACATAACACATACAAAGTCTATTATAAAACTAGCATCAGTATCCTTGAATGCAAACCTTTTTCTGAGTATTTAACAATTGCACCCTTTAAAAAACGTACAATAGACATTAAGACATTTAAACAGATATATAAACATTTTAAAATTAAAACAGCGTAAAATACTACCTCAAGCTCAATAAGCATTTTATGTATTCTAATCTTAGTATTTCTCTAGCTGACATGTAAGAAGCAATCTATCTTATTGTATACAATTAGCTCATTGTGTGGATAAAAAGGTAAAACCATTCTGAAACAGGAAACCAATATACTTCCTGTTTAATCAACAAATCTAAACATTTATTCTTTTCATCTATTTATTCTTGCTCTTGTCCACCACAATATGCTACTCACATGTTCAGTGTAGTTTTATGACAAAGAGAAAATTTTCATGAGTTACTTTTGTATCCCCACCCCCTTAAAGAAAGGAGGAAAAACTGTTTCATACAGAAGGCGTTAATTGCATGAATTAGAGCTATCACCTAAGTGTGGGCTAATGTAATCATGAGGGATTTCACCTACATCCATTCAGTCAGTCTTTGGGGGTTTAAAGAAATTCCAAAGAGTCATCAGAAGAGGAAAAATGAAGGTAATGTTTTTTCAGACAGGTAAAGTCTTTGAAAATATGTGTAATATGTAAAACATTTTGACACCCCCATAATATTTTTCCAGAATTAACAGTATAAATTGCATCTCTTGTTCAAGAGTTCCCTATCACTCTCTTTAATCACTACTCACAGTAACCTCAACTCCTGCCACAATGTACAGGATGCAACTCCTGTCTTGCATTGCACTAAGTCTTGCACTTGTCACAAACAGTGCACCTACTTCAAGTTCTACAAAGAAAACACAGCTACAACTGGAGCATTTACTGCTGGATTTACAGATGATTTTGAATGGAATTAATGTAAGTATATTTCTTTCTTACTAAAATTATTACATTTAGTAATCTAGCTGGAGATCATGTCTTAATTAACAATGTATTATACTTTCTTAGAATTACAAGAATCCCAAACTCACCAGGATGCTCACATTTAAGTTTTACATGCCCAAGAAGGTAAGTACAATTTTTTATGTTCAATTTCTGTTTTAAAAAAATTCAAAGTAATATGAAAAATTGCACAGATGGGATTAATAGCAGCTTATCTAAGGTAAAGAGTAACTTTAATTTCTGTTTTTTTGGAAACCCAAGTTTGATAATGAAGCCTCTATTAAAATAGTTTTACCTATATTTTTTACATATATTTGTGTATTGGTGGGGGTGGGAAGAAAACATAAAAATAATATTCTCACTTTATTGATAAGACAATTTTAAACAAAAATGTTTACTTATGGTTTCATTTAAAAATGTAAAACTCTAAAATATTTGATTATGCCATTTTAGTATGTAAAATACCAAAATCTATTTCCAAGAAGCCCAACTTAAAAAATCTTTTCTTGTTTTAGGAAAGGTTCCTAAGTAAGAGGCAGCATAACACTAACTAATAGCACAGACTCTGGGGCCAGATATCTCAAGTGAAATCTCAGCTCTGCCGTGTCCTAGCTTTCATGACCTTTGGCAAATTACCTGCTCTCTTTGTGATTCAGTTTCATGTCTACTTAAATGAATAACTGTATATACTTAATACACTTTTGTGAGAATTAGTAAGTAAATGTAAAGCACTCAGAACCGTGTCTGGCATAAGGTAAATATCATATAAGCATTAGCTATTATTAGTAGTATTAAAGATAAAATTCTTACTGAGAAATACAAAGTGAAATTTTGGATTTTTATCTTTTTACCAATAGAACTTGAGACTTATAATGTTATATGACTTATTTCCCAAGATTAAAAGCTTCATTAGGTGGTTTTTGGATTCAGATACAGCATAAGCATAATCATCCAAGTTCCTAGGTTACATTAGGTGTGCAAAGCTACCTAGTAGCTGTGCCAGTTAAGAGAGAATGAACAAAATTTGGTGCCAGAAAGGGCTTGTGCCAGGGTGAATCCAAGCCCAGAAAATAATAGGATTTAAGGGGACACAGATGCAATCCCATTGACTCAAATTCTATTAATTCAAGGGAAATCTGCTTCAAACTACTCTTCTGAAAGATGTAAAGGAGACAGCTTACAGATGTTACTCTAGTTTAAACAGAGCCACGTAATGCAACTCCAGCAACATAAAGACACTAGATGCTGTTTTCTGAAGAAAATTTCTCCTCATTGTTCATGCCAAAAACTTAACCCCGAATTTGTAGAATTTGTAGAATTTGTAGTGGCGAATTGAAAGCACAATAGATGGACATATCAGGGGATCGGTATTGTCTTGTCCTACCTTTCCCACTAAAGACTGTTAGAAAGACGATATTATGTGCATAACTTAGGGGGTGGTAGAATTCACTGAAATCTAACAGTTTGAAAACAAAAGTAATGATAAACTCTATTCATTTGTTTAACCTTCATTGCACATTTACAAAAAATTTTAGAAACTAATAAAAATATTTGATTCCAAGGACGCTATGTTAACGCTATAATGAGAAAGAACTGAAATCTAATTCTGGCTCTACCTACTTATGTAGTCAAATTCTGAGATTTGGCATCCTTATTTTAAAAATAGAGATGATCCCTCACTGCCTACTTCAAAAGATGACGTGAGACGTAAATGGGCCTATTTTGGAGAAAATTCTTTTAAATTATAATACACCATAGAAATACGAAATATTATATATAATATAGAACCAGGAGGCCTGTTCAAAAGTCCTTCCAAAGTACTATAATCTTTTATTTTATTGGGACAAATATTTTTGAAATGCATCTTAATGTAGTGATTGTAGAAAAGTAAAAATTTAGACACACTTAAATGTGTCTTGCTCCAGGCTATATTGAGAGCCACTACTACATGATTATTGTTACCTAGTGTAAAATGTCAGGATTGTGATAGATGGCATCCAAGAGTTCCTTCTGTCTCTTAACATTCTGTGATTCTTAACTCTTAGATTATCAAATATTATAATCATAGAATGTGATTTTTATATTTCCACATTCTAACTGATCTGGTTCTAATGATTTTCTATGCAGACTGGAAAAGTAATCAGCCTACATCTGTAATTTGCATTTAGATGCAGAAATGCTAACATTTTGCAAAGCCAAATTAAGCTAAAACCAGTGAGTCAACTATCAACGCTAGTCATAGGTACTTGAGCCCTAGTTTTTCCAGTTTTATAATGTAAACTCTACTGGTCCATCTTTACAGTGATACTGAGAACAGAGAGAATGGTAAAAACTACATACTGCTACTCCAAATAAAATAAATTAGAAATTAATTTCTGATTCTGACCTCTGTGGAAACTGAGCTGATGATAATTATTATTCTAGGCCACAGAATTGAAACATCTTCAGTGTCTAGAAGAAGAACTCAAACCTCTGGAGGAAGTGCTAAATTTAGCTCAAAGCAAAAACTTTCACTTAAGAGATACCAAGGACTTAATCAGCAATATCAACGTAATAGTTCTGGAACTAAAGGTAAGGCATTACTTTATTTGCTGTCCTGGAAATAAAAAAAAAAAATGGAAGGGGAAAAGTACCACATTTCAAAGTGACATAACATTTTTGGTATTTGTAAAGTACCCATGCATGTAATTAGCCTACATTTTAAGTACACTGTGAACATGAATCGTTTCTAATGTTAGATGATAAACTAACTGGGAAGTATAAGCTACAGAGTTTGCACCTACCATCTACTAATGGACAAGCCTCATCCCAAACTCCATCACTTTTCACATTAACACAAAACTGGGAGTGAGAGAAGGTACTGAATTGAGTTTCACAGAAAGCAGGCAGATTTTATTATATATTTTTCAATTCCTTCAGATCATTTATACTGGAATAGTCAATACTGATTACCTGAAATGCTTTTCAAATGGTGTTTCCTTATCATTTGATAGAAGGACTACCCATAAGAGATTTGTCATAAAAAAAAAAAAAACCTGGAGCCATTACAATGGCCAGTGGACTAAACAAACAATAACCTTTTTAGAGGCAATCCCACTTTCAGAATCAAGTATTTTTAAATGCACAGGAAGCATAAAATATGCAAGGGACTCAGGTGATGTAAAAGACATTCCCTTCTCTCTTTTTATATCCCATCTGCTAAGGTATAAAATTCATTAGTTAATAGCTATCCTAAATAAGCAGCATAAGTATAATAATAGAAAGACACTTCTAAAAGTAACTCCAGTTGTGTCCAAATGAATCACTTATTAGTGGACTGTTTCAGTTGAATTAAAAAAATACATTGAGATCAATGTCATCTAGACACTGACAGATTCAGTTCCTTATCTATGGCAAGAGTTTTACTCTAAAATAGTTAACATCAGAAAACTCATTCTTAACTCTTGATACAAATTTAAGACAAAACCATGCAAAAATCTGAAAACTGTGTTTCAAAAGCCAAACACTTTTTAAAATAAAAAAACCCAAGATATTACAATATTTAAATAATTATGCTTAAGAGGGTACAGAACACTGTAACAGTTTATTTAAAGAGAATACTTATTTAAAGGGAACACTCTATCTCACTTGCTTTTTGTTCCCAGGGTAGGAATAACTTCAAATTTGAAAAGCTGTCTTTTAAGTATTACTTTATATCAAAATATTTCCTCCTTAGCTTATCAACTAGAGGAAGTGTTTAAATCGCTTCTTTCAGCAGAGGAGCCTAGTTTCTAAAAAGCCAGTCCACAGAACAAAATTTCCAATATTTAAACTTTCAAAAGTTGTTAAATTCACCTGTATTGATACTATGATAGGGTAGGGGTAGGTATAAGTATTTATGAAGATGTTCTTCACACAAATTTCTCCCAAACAGAAGCATGTCCTCGCTTACTCTAGGCTAGTTCTATTCTGCTTTGGGGAAAATATAAGGAGATTCACTTAAGTAGAAAAATAGGAGACTCTAATTAAGATTTAGAAAAGAAGTATAATGTGCATATCAATTCATACATTTAACTTAAACAAATATAGGTACATATTCAGAGGAAAAGCGATCAAGTTTATTTCATATCCAGCATTTAATATTTGTCTAGATCTGTTTTTATTTAAATGTTTATTTGCACCCAATTCAGGGAAAAAATTTTTGTGTTCATTGACTGAATTAACAAATGAGGAAAATCTCAGCTTCCATGTTACTATCATTTGGTATCATAACAAAATATGTAATTTTGGCATTCATTTTGATCATTTCAAGAAAATGTGAATAATTAATATGTTTGGTAAGCTTGAAAATAAAGGCAACAGGCCTATAAGACTTCAATTGGGAATAACTATATATAAGGTAAACTACTCTGTACTTTAAAAAATTAACATGTTTCTTTTATAGGGATCTGAAACAACACTGATGTGTGAATATGCTGATGAGACAGCAACCATTGTAGAATTTCTGAACAGATGGATTACCTTTTGTCAAAGCATCATCTCAACACTGACCTGATAATTAAGTGCTTCCCACTTAAAACATACCAGGCCTTCTATTTATTTAAATATTTAAATTTTATATTTATTGTTGAATGTATGGTTTGCTACCTTTTGTAACTATTATTCTTAATCTTAAGATTATAAACATGGATCTTTTAAGATTCTTTTTGTAAGCCCTAAGGGCTCTAAAATGGTTTCACTTATTTATCCCAAAATATTTATATTATGTTGAATGTTGAATATAATATATATGTAGATTGGTTAATAAAACTATTTAGTAAATTTGATAAATATAAACAAGCCTGGATATTTGTTATTTTGGAGACAGCACAGAGTAAGCATTTAAATATTTCTTAGTTACTTGTGTGAACTGCAGTATGGCTAAGATGCTTACAAAAGTCACTCTTCCTCTGAAGAAATATGTAGAACAGAGATGTAGACTTCTCAAAGGCCCTTGCTTTGTCCTTTCAAGGGCTGATCAGACCCTTAGTTCTGGTCTGAGAATATCTCTTAGCAGATTATATTTTCCTTCTTCTTAAACAAAACGCCAAACACAAACATTCTTGAAACTCTTCATAGATTTGGTGCGGCTACGAATTCTCCATTATCTTACAACTTGCCCAGTGCCATGAGGAGGCTCACCTGTATGGCCTATATCAAAGGTCTTCCCTGCCCTTTGGCTTTCCATTGGGTCCTGCCATTGGGGAGCGCTGGTAGGAACTCTGAGGAACATAAGAGATTCCTCTGACTCCCTCCTTGTGGAGTAGACCCAGGATGGCTGTGCCTCTCAACCAAAGAACCCAGATTACCTCAAGGTGGCACTCTGTATACTTTTTCCTTCTGAGTGATTCTGGTAATCTTCCCTTCCACTTCTCTCTTTAAGCCTAGGGAGGGTGGTACGTGTGCTGTTAGCAACTCCAGGGTACTTTTACCACCCCTTGCAGTTTCCCTGTACTCTGACCATAGCTTTTTAAATAGTCCTTTTATTAAATCCTCCTTTTAATTGAGTATGCCATCTGTTTCCTGCTGGGACTCAGATACAGTAATTGTATCAGAAATAGTCCCAGAAAAGAGACCCTCAAAATAGGATTCTGGGACTGGTTGTCCATATATTCAAGGAACACAAGGATAATAGGAAATGGGAAATCTATGGGATGTAGTAGCATCATGATTACTCAACTTATCATCAATAGTAGCATGGGATGAAATGCAGATGGAGGGCAAGATGTTGTGAGGTCAAATGGCTGTGGCACTTAGTTGCCACAGAAACAATAGTTATAAAAATTATGATTACCTAGATTCTTTTGATGATGATGACCCCAGACAGAGAACAAAGGGGAAAAACGTTATCAACATACAATTAAAAACATACATGGGCAACCAGAATGCCTCTTCAGCAGCTTTGAAGGAGTCGTTCCTCTCTTCAAAACTGCCAAGGAGTAGAAGTAAAAGGGACCCTTCTCATTAAATACCTCACTTGGAAGATTTTTTTTTTTTTTCACATCTCATCCATTAAATCTTATCTTGGGCAGTTTTAAGGCCTTAGTGCTCAATGAGGCATTCTTCTACCAGGTGCCTTGACTTCTACCAGAAAACTGATGAAATGGCTGAGATTACCTTTTGGCCATTTAGGGGTTCTTCATATAGCTGAACCAACAAGCATGTAAAGGACCGTATTGAGCAGGGTGACTGATTTTGATGAAAAGGGGGAAATTCAGTGCCTTCTATAGAAACAGTCAATGACTACACAATAGGTAACACTATATTTGGAACTCAGGAAATTCAGTGGGTCATCTCTTAGCTTTCTATCCTTAGTAGTATTGGTCAACGGAAACTGTAACAATCTTTAAAATTCAAGAATATCAAAGACTCAGATTTCACAGAAGTGAGATAGGGAGTAAATAATGCCACCCAACCAAAGTAATAGCAGAGGGTAAAAGGGAACATGCAAAGGGTAGTGGAAGAATGCAGCTGTACTAACCAACTTTCATGACTAGCTACTGAGGCAGAAAAGAGACTTGAGCAGTTTTGCTTTTCTCCATTTTTGTACTTTACTAAAAGTACAAGTTGGACTTGACATCATCTCTTATTCTTTATGTGAAGAACACTGGTGATACCTAACATTTTAGAACAGGAAAAATATTGCTGAATTGACATTACCCTATAATGATACAATAACTGATGTGATTTCATGTGTCTCCTTTGCTAGGAGTATAAACCTTCCCAAAGGAAGGAAGAGAGCACATGCTGAGGAATGAAGGTGTGACCTGTGTATCTTCCACTTTTCCCTCAAAAACAACTCTATATCCTTTTCCATCCTGATCTTCATCCTGCTAAGTCAAATTGTGTGGAATACATTAATGTATTTTCTTGCCTTCTGGTTTCTAGCTGAGTTTGACCACAGGGGATTCCTGGTAAGAGGTGAATGTAAGAATGCCTTGGAATAGCTGTATCACTTGACCAAAGATGAAACTCCTCTCAAAGTTGCCTTTTATGACCTTTCAAGATTCTAGTACTTACTCCTCTATACTTCTCTTCAGGCCTAGATGCAGTAGCTGTTTCCCTGTGTGATGAAAGCAACCAATAAAGGCAGGTCTTGCAGGTTTCAGTCCTCAAGAGAAAGAATGTGCACAACAGACATCCTTGCTTTTTTCCTGAGGGAATTTTCCAAATTGTGACACAAGAAAATGGAACCCAAGAATGAAGGAATGCAGTGGCAGTCCTATGAGGAGTTAAGAGGCAGGAGTAGTTCAGGGTTGTCAAAGTAGATGGAATTTAAGAGACAAAACCCCATAAAGGAGTGACCTGCAGGGAAGGAACCCATGTATCTACATACAAATTTCCCTCAGTTCACTGACTGATCCATCAGTTGCTTATGGAATATAAGACACTTCCCAACCACTAAAAGAAATGGCAGAAAACAGCAGGTAGGAGGCAAATAAGCTGTATGGTGCTGAGAAGCCACAGGTTGGAGCCAAAGCCCTGCCATGGAGAAAGGGTCTAGTAAACATGTCAGGATTTAAGAAAAAAAAAAAAAAAAAAGCCAAGGCTCTAAGTGAACATGTCTTGGAATAAGGACAAATCTGAAATATGCCCTAACAAAGCCTAAAAACAAGCTTCGATAAGATCAAATGAATATTCTAGATTCTATTTGTCTTCTGAAGACAGTTTATTCTAATTTAGATAAAAATAACATCATCCAGAGCCTCACACTATTTCAGACACATGTAGCATCAGTTTAAAAATTATGAAACCTGCTGGCTAACACAGTGAAACCCTGTCACTACTAAAAATACAAAAAAAAAAAAAAAAAATTAGTTGGACGTGGTGGCGGGAGCCTGCAGTCCCAGCTTTTCGGAAGGCTGAGGCAGGAGAAGGGTGTGAACCTGGTAGGTGGAGTTTGCAGTGAGCCGAGATTGTGCCACTGCACTCCAGCCTGGGTGACAGAGCAAGACTCTGTCTCAAAAAACAAACAAACAAACAAAAATTATGAGACCTGCTAACACACATGCACACACACACTCTCTCTCACTCTCTCTCTCTCGCTCGCTCGCTCTCTCTCAAAATTAAGTTGGGTGGCAGGGGGAAACAATAAACATCTCCAACATAGGATTCAAGTGTATTTATAAGATACAGACTTTAACTGGTATAATATGTACAAGAAAACAAAGCATCATATCTAGATAATAGATGAAAAGATAAACTTTTGCAGAAAATTGAATTATATTTTAAAAAATCAAAGGAACATTCCAGAACTAAAAAATACCACCTGTGAAATCAAGAAATCACTAGGTGTGCTTAATGGCATACTGGATGTGGAAAAAGACTGTATTAGTGATCTATAGATAAGACAATAAAAAATATCCAAAAGGAAAAAAAGGTATATAAAAAAAGAACACAGTAACACATAGGTAATCAGAGTCATTAAAAAAAGAAAAAACAAGAGGAGAGGAAAGAAGGAATGGTGAAAGATGTAACGGCTGGTAATTTTCGTAACCAAATGAAAAGACATCTACCTACATATTAAAGGTCGGTAAAACCCAAGCAGAATACATACAAAACAGCAATAGCAAAGCACATTCACAGACAACCCTCAAATCCATACATAGGCAAATCACAATTAAACTGCTGAAAAGTAAAGAAAAAAGGCAGCTAACTGAAAAAAGGCACTGCCTTCATAAAGCAACAATATATGTGTCAGCAAATATTTCAGCAAAATCTATGAAAGTTGGGAAAACAATGGAATGACATACTTAATTAAAAAAAAAAAAACTTGGCAAACTAGAATTCTGCACCATAATTCCTTAGACAAGGTAAAACAGACACTTCAGGCAACAAAAGCTGAGAAAACTGAGCAAAAGCAGACTGGAACCACAAGAAGTACTACAGAAATAATTAAATAATTTTAAGCTGAAGAAAAAAATCCAAATGAAGCACAGGAGTGTAAAAATGAAACAGAGTACCATACAGTGTAGACAGAAAGTTACTAGTTAAGGAGACAATAGGTCTTGGGGCATTTTAACATATGCACAAGTAAAATATCTGACAAAATAAATAAGGGCAAAAGATGATAAATGGCATTAAAATGTTGCAGGATCCTTGCATTACTGGGGAAGTGTTAAACTAATGAATTTAAGAAAGACGGCAATAAGTCAAAGTTTCATGTTATAATCTAAGGTAACTCCTAAAATAATACATGTTGAGTATCCCTTATCTGAAATCTTGGGACCAGAGGTGTTTTAAATTTTGGATTATTTTGGATTTTTGAATACTTGCATTATATTTACTACTTAAGCATTCCTAAACTGAAATCCAAAATGCTCAGATGAGTATTTTCTTTGGGCATGATCTTTGAGTATCATGTCAGGGCTCAAAATGTTTTGGATTTTGGAGCATTCTGGATTTTGAATTTTTGGATTAAGGATGTTCAACCTGTATAAATGAAAAGCAATAAAGAAGAAAATGTATTATAATACTAATAATCCTAAAAATAAGGCAAGAAAGAATGAAGAGAGGAATAAAGGTAAAAAAAGAAAAATATCCACAATGAGACAAACAGAAAACAAATAGCAAGAAGGCAGACTTAAACCAAACTCTATGTCATTGTCATTAAATACAAATGAACTATAAACTCCAATTAAAAAAAGATTGTAAGATAAAATAAAAATCAAACCCAATTACACACTGTTTACAAAAAACATATTTTAAATAAAAGGACAAAGGACTAAAACAAAAAGGAAAAGGGAATATAATCTGGTGGGTGCCCCTATGGGACAAAGCTTACAGAGGAAGGAAAA